TACATCATCATACTAGATTAAAAGGCAAAAAGATCTAATATTTTATCATTAGAATTGTCATTATTATTCTTATTTTTGCTCTTTTCTCTATTATTTTTTGATTTTCATCTATTACTATTCTCATCAATATTCTTAATAATTTTATTTTTACTTACTTCTCTTCATTGATCAGTTATTAATTTCAAATATATATATTAATAGATCTTGTTTGTATATTCTGCTCAATTGCAGATATTGTACTTTGAGACAGAAGATGATTTATTAAACTGTCTATTATTATTACTCATAGTAATGATATTTGTTTTAAAAGCTTTTGAACAGTCAGTCTTCTTTATCTTACTTGTACAATTGATCAGTTATTTCATTAGATAATCAATATCTATATTGATAATTAAATCTTGATCTGTCACATAGAAATTATTCAGACAAGTCTTCATAAAGACTTTGTGATGATCTTGTAGACTATTGAGAAAGAGATAATGATAGAAATTATCTGTATTTTTGACTAACTTCTTATGATATGTAACTAGGTAGTAAAATCTTCTTTAATAGATAATATAGTTATTATCTTTGACATAAAGAGTAGAAAGCTTCTTCATTATATTCATCTGTTCTTCTGCTAAAAAGACTATATATTTAGTGCTAATTCTCTATCATAGAGCAGCTGCATTATTTGATTTCAGCTCTTCAATTGTTATCTGTACAGATTTTAATTGTTAGGCTCAGCGCCGGGGCTAGGTTTATCTCCATCACGTGACCACGCCCCACATGTAATCTAGCGGATCGGTCGTGATCCAGTCACGTGATCACGTTGGCTGTTTATAATCCGAGCAGACCCTGACACCTCTTTTTCCTCATCAATCTTAGTATTTCATTATATAGCAGTTAGCAACGCAGAGAGATTCTATCATAGGCAGCTCACATTCGCTCCCTAACATTAATATGAATTGAAGCATTTGATGATATAAGATCTTTATGCATACTATTCAACATTCTTTTTCCAACACATTGATATTTTAAAATGATTCATGTTGATTTTTCATCAAGATATCTTTGTCATCAATGATTTTTATATCTACAAAAATGTCAATTTTTCATGTTTGATAGTTGATTTCATCAAATGTCATCATAGTCTTTGTATAAAGACACTAAGGTGAATGAACTAAGTGTCAAAAGAAAGTATAAGAAGCTCTATAACTAAGATTATAAAAGAGTAAATATATAGACACTCTGAGTATTATGAAAGAAGAAGAATAGGAATGAATGAAATGTATATGTAGAATTGAATAGTAGCTAATCACTGAATTTTTTGAAGAAACTTTAAGAATTCAGAGTGTTTATATATATGAATGAGTAGCAATAGATTTTATCTTTAATTTTTCATTTCATGAAAAATTAATAATACAGTGATTTAAATTTTCGTAAAATGCTAATTCTATTCTTCAGAAAATGCTGATGTTAAAGAACTGATTTTTGAGAAGTGCTAATCTATGCTAATTTCAAATGCTGAATTTTGAAATGATGCTGATTCTCTAGAAGATGTTGATTTTAAAGTGCTTTACTAGTAGTGTAAAAGTAAGTGCTTTAGTAAGTAGTGTGATAAGCAGTGTGAGATAAGCATTGTGACATAAGCAGTATGAAAGCAAGAAGATAATATAGAGAGTCTTGACATCACATTTTGTATTCATTGAAGCTTGCACTTTCTTTCAATATTCATATATCAGTATATATATAGATGTTTTCATTGATTTAAGTGTTCTGCTGTATAATCATCATTTCTTGACAAAATGTAAGCAAATCAACTGCAATCATAGTGATTATGCTACTTGCATGTAGAGGGTTAAGCTCTAAGAACTAGAGGCTAGTCCTCCTATATAACAAGGACGAATTGCTTGGGAAAGAGAAGAAAAGAATGAGATGAGAACACGAGCTTAAGCAAGCTCGCGTAGCATGATCACGTGCGCACATGCAAATGATGGCTAGGCTGAGTCAGCCAGCCAGAGCGAATCTAGGGGTTCAGCCCCTTATATTGCATTAGAAATAGATATAAAAATAGAGATAGATATGAGAGATAAAGTTTCATTATTTGATTCATGATATATGAGTTTTTTTCTCAGATTATAGCTAAAACTGATTTTTTTTTATTATTTTCTCTATCAATATGTATTAAATTTCTTTCTCATTTGCTGAACTAGACTTTGATATCTAATTGTGCTCTTCTTTGTATACTGAGAGAAATGAGTCTTGAGGTTTTGATTAAAAATGTAAAGATCTTTTTCATTTTGATTTAAGAATAGATAATAATTAAAAGTCATTCATATTAAATATAATATGAATGCTAATTCTTCAAAGAACATGATCACTTCTTGCAACCAGATAATATTCCTGTAAAATCTTTTGATTTTATTACAAAAAGAGTCTTCTTTTATAGAATTAGTATTTTTGTTTTGATTTCTTTATAAATAAAATTGCTTTCTTATAACATATAATATCTTCTTGAAATCTTCTGATTCTTAATGTAAAAAGAGTGTTTTTAAAGGAAATCTAGTCAAACTCATCCAATATTGTGTTGGCTGCAGTGTATTCTAATTAAAATATCTTGTTTAACTTAAAAAACTGTTATCTGGGCCATAACCTGTGGGATGGCCAGCTTACTGATATACGCGTACATCACGTGAGGTGGTGCGGCTACCGGGCGGTCATGCCCAACACTTAAGAATAACAAATGGACTGATCTTCTCAAACAACTTTGACCACTGCTATGCCAAGTACAGTCACCAAGGTGCCTAACTACCAACTAGATACACCTTCTGAAATTCATACTGTTTTCATATTAACCTGTTCTGATCAGCTGCTTGAAAATCTGTTCCTCTCACAGAAGAATCTCAACTGGCAGCCACCTGGCATAATCAAAGAGAATAATGAACTAGAATGAGAAATTGAATGAATAATACACCATCACACATGTGGACACCTCTGAGAATATCTAGTTCAATGGATAGGATAACTACAACCGCTCAACGTGGGAATCAGCTTCCGCCCTTGGAGACACGGCCGCGCTTGATTCGTATGAAGCACCAACAATTGCTGAATGATCCGCCGAATGAACCTCCGGAGGGGAGGGGATGATGTAATAGGCTTAACGCCTAGGTGATAACCTTTTATAATCAAAACTCTTAGTCTGGATTATTCTTCTTCCTGTCTGACCTGTATAAAACTCTGCGCTCATTTTTGTAGCTTTCATTCTCCTCTCTTCTCTTCTCTTTTCTCCTTCTAACGAATTTGTCCATTTTTGGTATAAGGAAGTGCTAGGGCCGTATTCAGTAGCACTTCTGTTATATCTAACTTGATAAAACTTTTCATCTGTCTTCAAATTTTTTTTTTTTTTTTTTTTTTTTTTTTTTCCCTTTCTTCTTCTAATGAATGTGTTTTTATTCTACACAGCGGTGCTAGAGATGTATTCATTTAACACTCTCATTAAAAGAAGAATTTTAAATGTTGAAAACACAATTATAGGATTAAAGAAACTTACCTCTAAAACTCTATAAAAAGATAATTAATGAGTGACTAATACATGATTTTAGCTCTGAAATAGTGGCAATTTATATGTGAGATAGATCTATATAACTAGTTAGTTAAACTGATGATATCAAAGAAACCAATGAGATGTCATTTAACTATTGTAAATTAATTGACATGTAATTTTAAATATTACGTCATTTCGATTTGAGGTAATCCTGCGGGGTTTAAACCCATGATCCTTGATTTCACACGTCACGTACCACTTATTAGCCGCTTTAGCCATTCGGCAATGGGGGGTTTGTATAAAACATGTTTTTAAGTAGATTTTAGAATAGAATAGCAGATTTGAGATATCATATTACAATATGTGAAAGAGTATTAGGCATATATAAACTAGTTAACCTTTTTTTTTAATAAAGGAAATCAATCATTTAACAATGATTATTAATAAATTAAAAATGTTAAAATTATCTATTACAAATTAACATCTCACATATAATATATAATATTTAGTATTGTAATACTTAGTAAATAATATATCAATACAATTACTTACACAATTAATACATATCTTTTATATCTTTATTATCAGAGTTTAGATTATATAAGTTTTACAAAAATAAAATATTTTACATTTAATTTGATTTAATTTAATTTAATGATTTATTACTAAGTGTAAAATAAGTATAAATAATTCAGATTGAATTTAATTATTTAAAATATTTCAAATTAATTAATTATTTATTTGAAAATTATATTAATTATATTAACTGTAAATTTCAATTTAAAATTAAAATATTTATAATATTTATAATAAATATATAATTAAATTAAGAAATAATTATATTAAAGTTTATTATAATTTATTATTAGAAAGAAAAGTTGAATGTATTTATAATAAAGTACGCCTCATTTTAAAACCAACCTTCAAATATGACAACTGGTTAGACAAGAATTAAGTAATCATTAAATGCTAGTTAGTTATCAAATTTAGCTCACGACACCGAAAACCTTAGAAGTTAGTATTAATAGAAGCTTTAAAACAATCGATGTCATAAGGCTTGGACGATGTGCGTCAGGCTGAGAGTGGCTATCCAGCTGCTATTTTTACACCCCAACTCCTAACCCGCAACCAAGGTTGGTTAGTGGTCCCAGTCTTTATCCTAATAGAAAGTCTAGCCCCCACTTCGCTGTCTGTGCGGGTATAGAAATTAGAGTTATATGTATGACCTCATGAATGGTGGAGCTGTTCCCAAATTCAATCCGCTGGACCGGAACTACAAAGGCCTCCTCCCCATCAACCACCGATTATCTTCATGAATTCAAATTCGACGGATCTTTTCTTTGATCTTCTTTTCTCATTTTTCAACTTTGCTGTGTGAATCGTTAGGAGATAAGGGACGCCAAACCGCCTCTACTGAGCGCGATATACAGCTGAATTTTGAAGCGAGGTGGGAGAAAAGATTCTGTTATCGAAAATGCTCATTGCTACAAAGGTCACAAATCTGCTCCTGTGGAGTTCCTACCTTGCTGTCCTTGGGGCGGCGCAAAATACGACGCCACAGGAGATAGTCTGGGCTTCTGTCATCTTCACTCACCACGGAGACAGTACACCAGTGGTGCAGCCTGGTACGCAAACATTAACATCATATGGTTCTCAGCAATTGTTTGGTGCTGGTTCGTATTTCCGAAGGCGCTACTTGAGTAGTTCTGATACTGGGATAATGGGCATATCTACTACTGCTCCGGTGCCGTCTGAGCTTCGTGTCCTTTCGATGGTCGAACAGTATGTTTCCGCTTCAGCTACGTCATTCTTGCAAGGCCTCTATCCGCCAAACCGGCAGTCGGATAACAGCACTGTGAATATCGCAAATATGGTGAATGGGACCGTCATCGACTTCCCCCTTGATGGATATCAGTATCCGGAAGTTTTTACCCCGAGCTATAGGGACCCGGTCAGCACCCAAGTTGTTGGCCAGGCCAACTGTCCCGCGTACAGCGGTGCGATTGTGGAGTGGGTTGAAAGCAGCGAATTTCTTGCGTTGGCGACGGAAAGTCTCCAGTTTTATTCCAGTATCTACTCGCGTGTACTACGTGGTATCCTTTCGGCCCAGAATACCAATTTCATCAACGCGATTGCCATTTGGGATTATCTTAACTACCAATACATCCACAATTCGACTGCCCGAAACGTAATTTCCCTTGAAGACGTAAACCAGGCACGATACTTCGCGGACAGATTTGCGTTCGCAACCAACGGAAACATCTCGACAAGTGGACAGGGCCGCGATGACAATGGCGATCTCCTTGCTTTGGCGGGCAAGACGTTTTCGAGGTATATATTGAACGCCTTTGAAAGCAATATCCGCACCAACGGCATCAGCAGCAAGTTGGCATTGGTATTTGGCCGGCATGAGCCGATAATGGCCTTTGCCGCACTGGCTAAATTGATTACAGACCGCTTTCCGAACTTCTACGGCATGCCCGAGCGTGGTGCTTCGATGGTTTTTGAGCTCTTCAGCCAGGGGTCCGGTTCCCCCCCTAGGCAATACCCCTCTCAAACTGACCTGATGGTCCGCTTCTTTCTTCGCAACGGGTCAAATCCATCAGGAACGGAACCCCCACTCACCTCGTACCCACTCTTCGGTCGTGAAGTGTCAGGCATACCATACAGAGAGTTCAGAAGCGAGATGACGAATATTATGTTGTCTGTGGCAGGGTGGTGTCGAACCTGTGCTAGCGAGTCAGTATTTTGCCCTTCCTACCTGGCCAATTTCGGAAGACTTGGCAACAGGCCAAATTCACGTCGCTTAAGTCCTGCAGTGTCTGGAGTAATTGGTGCAGTGGTTGGTTTGGTTATTGTGGCACTTCTTGCTGGCCTCGCTGCGTGGTTGTTTGGTTTGCGCATTCGTCGCACTGCCACACGCCGCAGGTCAGACCTTGGTGGGTTCAAGGGAGGGAATAAGCTTGCCAGTGATCCTGATTTAACGTTTGGGGGCAAAGCTGGGCAGCAGGGGGTTGGCGTTTTTGTGAAGCAAGACGACTGTGAAGGGGGCAATAGTTCTGGCGATACCCATGGTGGCCATGAGCGGATTGGAAGTTGGGAATTGCGGTCCAAATCAGCGATTCCGAATTCTGAATCTGATACCGAGAGTACGAGGAGATTACGTGGAAATGCGTCGGGACGAGTGAGCTTAGAGGAGGACGATACGGTGGTCAGCACGATTGCAGAGCCTGTCAAGGCGCACGAGCATGTTTGAAAGACGGAATACGTGCAGGAGACTTCAATAGGAGTTTCAAAAAAAAAAAAAAAAAAAAAAAAACGATCCCCTCGCTTTCATTGTTTCATTCACGTCGATAATGCCATGCTCTCGTCAACACTTGTGACATTTTACGCATTTCCGCACCGTACATTGCATTTCCCGGTTCGTACGGGTTCTATTTTGTTCTTATTTTTTAGCCTTTATAATTTTGCCATCAGCCTCTGGATTCACTCATTTGATACCCTTCTCTGTCGTTATTTTCCACTTTTGAGTTCCAAGGGCATGGATTTGCTTTGAGTTGTAGAGCGCAGGTACGAACACGGAGGAGGTTTTGTTTTTCGGGCATCTTGACTGGAGTCTTGCCGCAGTGGGGGATCCGATAAACCTCCCGAGGTCCCTTCTAGAAGTTTTGGCCCCTAGGCCCCCTAACGACGAGTGAAATACCCATTCTAGATCTCAGGCCAACTGTACCTTTGCTATTATTGCCAAAATTTTGGCCCTATTAGATATAAGGATGTGATCATGGCACACCATATTTACATAGTACCTAATTTTATCAGAAGACTACAGGCATTGGATAAAACAAATGCACTTCTTGATCTCAAAAGCACTCTCTCTTCCCTTGTCAAATAGCGGTGGATATTTCATCTGCAGCCTTCTGCAGCCTTCTGCAGTCTTTGAACCCCTTTGTCTAGAGAGCTCTTCCCACTGTGACCAGTCAATTGTTCTTCTTCTCTCCCGCCTTCGAAATCTCAACCAACCACAAAAACAAACAACGCTGCTTCACCTCCACCGTGACTTCCTGAGGCAATGCCGTGCAGGCCATCTTTCCCTCCTCTCTCCTCATCCATATGCATCTGCCTCCTCCCAACCAGCGTGAACCGCAAACTCAACAACACTGGACAGAGACTGTAACGCAACGCAAGGATGACTGATCCCACAATGTCTCAAATGTCTCAAAAAACCATCTCCTGTTTTGTTTTCTTCTCTTTCATCTCTTTCATCTCTTTCTTCCCTTTCATCCCCTGTCCCCTCCCTATCCCCTCTCCCCTTCATCCCTTTCATCCCCTTTCTTTGCACCTTACATCTCCCAACCTCCAAACCCTGTTCTATCTCGCCTGCCTCATCCATCACTTCTCTATTGCCCCTGGCTTGATACCAGAAGGTATTCGCTTTCCTTGATTGTGTCGTCCCTCCTTGCGGCTGCTGTTCCCGCACCAGTTCCTCTATCAACAACAGCTTCTCGTCTCTTGCAAACCCTCGCTTTCGCGTTTTCCTCCTCTCAAAACCTCCTCTGATCGCGTTCCGCCCCTATCTCATCCCCAATCTCTGCACCGTTTGCTTCTTCTTCTTCTTCTTCTTCTTCTTCTTCTTCTTCTTCTTCTTCTTCTTCTTCTTCTTCTTCTTCTCCCCCCCTTGTAACTCCTGCTGCTCCGTATCGCTTTATCACCTCCCTCCTCGATTTCACGTTTTCCCCTTCACTTGGGTCTCCCTGCCCCTCTCGTGTTAAATGCGAAGGGACAGCCGTTCCGTTCTTGGTTTATTTCGCATACAGGCGGAAAGCAACTCGATTTCTCCACCTAGTCTCCGACACAACACCTCTTCCTATCAAATTTAGTCGTTATTCCCTAGACCCGCTTCAAATATCCTTTTTCTCCTGTCCCTATTTCCCTTCCTATTTCTCATCTCACCGCCTTCATTCCATATCTCTTCCCGTCCGCGAGTTTACTCGCGGGCCCTTTCACGTGTAACCATCTTAACGAGGCAGCTTTTACCCGAAAAATATCTCAGCTGATGAGAAGATATACAAAAAAGAGAGAGAGAAAAAAAGGCCTCTTTTCTTGTGTCAATCCAGTGAGGATTTATATAATTGGTACGTGTTTGGATCCCGCTCAACGCCCCATCGAGGCTGTGGAGCCAGCATCTTTGTCTTAGTATCTAGACAGAAAACAAATGTTGGGTGGCTTTTTGTCTTATTATTGGATTTGGCTTGGGTTAAATTAGTCTGGTTCGAAGTATTGATTTGAAAATTGCTTGCGCTTTCGTGTTCATTCCCCCTTCTTTCACGGCGTGGCTGCCAGACGTCCCGAGTTTTCAGAAAAGCTCCCTTTCCTGATGCCCAGCATGATTTCCTAGCATTTATTTTTTTTTTCTTTCCTTTATTTGTCAGCCTCTGCTCGCGTATGCGTGCAGGCGTTACATCTTTCCTATCGAAAGCTTATATCATTTTGTCTCCAGTGTGACGAAGTCGCCGCCTGTTCATCTCCAAGGTTGCCTTGAGAGTTAGGGTTTTTTTTTTTTTTTTTTTGGAGGTCGGTTTGCTAATATAAATGCGCATCTTCAGTTAATTTCGAATCGCTTGGAGGAGGAATTACCTCAATTTCAACTCAAGTGGCTGTCTGCATTATGCAGTCCCTAGGAGGACGGCGATTCCCACGAAAGGGAATATCCGAGGGTGGACAAGAGAATGCTCAAGGAATGACTCTTCATCCTTCTTCTCATGAACCTAGATCTAGACGATATGAAATTCATACGTTGTTAGACATAGGACGTCGGGCCGGTGTAAGAAGTGAGTTGTTAACCAGTAGAACCAAGATAACCGAAGGTATTTGGTCCCCACAATCTAAATCCAAACATCCCCTTGTTGACAATATGCTCCCAGAAACTCCAGTTGCTGTTTTGAGCCACCCTGATGAGGGCTCCGGGAATCGGATTTTGACGGAGAAACCCATCAATCGCCGCCAAATCTCCTCAAACTTCTCCACGGGGACTGAGGATGGACTTCTGCTCTCGCAAGCCAACCATTTGCAGTATCCACATCGTCAACCAATAAATGCACCTCAGGGAAACCTCGCCCAAATTGATGCGGGTTTCGCGAGATTTCTTAAGGAACACGCATCACCTAAACATCAGAGGGTCACTGCGGGCGGTCGAATCGTTCCAATGAACCTCTCATCTGCGCCTGCTCCCGAATTCAAGCTCCCAGCTATAAGTTCCCAGAGGATTGAACCTCACAAGGATGACAGCATCCATGTTACAAACCGTCCACTGAAAGCACACGCCGATTTCCAGCACGAGAGCGGAGACTTCCAGCACCAGGGCCTTCGTGCTGACGCATATCAGAGCAGGTGTATCGGGCAGAACTTCGCTGCTCCACTGATGCAGTCTGGGTCAAATTCAGAAGAAATCAACCACCTTCCATTCACATCGGCACGGGCAACATCAGGCCAACAAGCGCAACGAACGTTACATGTAAACCCAAATCCCAACCCTGGAAGACAGGAGAGAATGACGCAGTTCGGACCGGAAACCACAGCTGCCACTTCCGGCTACACAATACTGAATGCAGCAGGTGAGCAAGTTGGCTGGGTTCCGAACAACGCCCAGCAATGCTATACCTCCAATTCCACAGACCAGCCCTTTCCAGTGGCTTATGCAATGTCAAACGGGGCAATTATTGGCGTGTACCCCCTAGATCAGTCAGGTTTGATGATGACGGCAACCCCTCAGCTATTCCCGCTCTCAACTATCCCGATCAATCAGCCAATGATCAACCAACCTTTGGTTAATCAGAATATGGTCAACCTGCCTATGATAAACCAGCCTATGATTCACCAGTCACCGCCTTCCAACTTAGCTATGCCCTTCACAGGTTTGTCAGAGGACTTGTTGAGCTATAAATCTCTTGAACACGCGACTAGGGAGTACGACAAACTTTCAGACCAGCTTTCGAGTTTGGATAGATATCTTGCACTACATTCTTTGGATGTCGACCCTGCTGCAAAGAGAATTCTGATTGACCAGCGTGTGGAGCTTGTGATGAAACTTGATGTTGCAAGATCGTTGAAAGAGCAGATTGAATTAGCACTCCAGCTCTCGAATTCTCGAGCCGCAATGGAGCATCAATCCTTCGGTCTTCAGCAATTCAATGAGTTTGCAAGCCCGGTTGCTCCTTCTTGGTTACCTAACTTGGGCCAGCATAACAATAACGTTGGAACGAGCAACTTGAATGCAGCAGGTTATATGATTTCTGCAATGGGGTTGCCAATGGCCGACTCCTATACCAATGCTTATGCAAATCAAGCCAGAGCTCCATTTGTCCCATCTGGGCTTGTACCCAGCTTACAGGGTTGGAGGAGCAGCAATGGAAATAGTAGTGGCAACCACGTTCCCCAGAACTGTGCGGTGAACACTGAACAGCTGTTAAACAATGACTACAATCCAGTTGAAATTGGACAAGCAAGACAATCGCTATCTAGTGTAGGAGGAAGCGCGTTTAAGGCCGGCTACGGGGCGGCTAGAGAGAGTGCTCCACCTGAGATTGCTCGAGTTTATCAAAATATCGAAATGGCAGCCAGCTTAGGTGAACCGCTGGGTCCACTTATCGAAGAACTTGCCCTTGTGGCGAGGCAGCTGAATGTCTCTGATATCATTGAGAATCAGGGCTTGATAGCGCAGCCAGAACAGGCACCAAGATCTAGCGATTCAAAAGTCAACCGAACGGGGTTAGACCCGTCTAATGAAGTTGCCACAGTCGACAGTTTTAGCGGGGAGTCGAAACCGTCTACCTTCCCAACGGCGGATTCGAAAATGACTTCTGTAGCCCCTCCAATTGCTCCTCCCAATGCGGTTCCCGAAGCAGTTCCCAACGCTGCTCCCAACGCTCCAAAGTAGGTTCTCCAGGACACACAAAGTAGCCCTGCAGATTCTGACCTTGATAAGAAATATGACTAGGATGAAAAAGACAATCATCATTCGCAAGCCTAGCGATGTTGTCGACTTAGAGACGGGTTTTCCAGCCGCGACGGCCCAGCCTAGTAAATACAAGATGAACTCGTGAGTATAGATACCACTCGATATAACACAATTTAATAAGGTGCATTATGCTGACTGTATCTAGATACGTGGAGTCTGTGAAGTCCAAAGAACTAGCTAGGGATCTTGCCCTGGCAAAAGAGAGACATCGTCAGAACCAGCTTGTGAGAGACGACGACGACTCCCCCACACCGCTGGGACGCCACTCCCTTGGGACATATGGGTCAGTGAGCGGAAGTGTGATGGGAAATGAAACCAACCAGCAAAGTGCACCACTCAGCAATTGGAAACAATTGGGGAATAGCGGTCCGTCAAAAAAGGCAAATACCTCCACAGCTTCTTCAAAGGTGAATGCCTACGGCTTGCTGCCCCGATATGACGGAGCTGATGACGAGGATGATCGCGGTTCCAAGGCCATAGATGCTACTTTGGGTGTTTCCGTGTCCGGGATTGGCACGGCGAAAGCAGTAGGGGAAACGGGCGCAACTAAAAGCACGGACAAAGATTGGTATCGCAAGGTGCCTCGCAAAGACGCCAACCCCAAGGATGTTCGAGAATTTTTCAAGCTTCTACGTGAGCAGGAAAAGGACATGATTAAGAACCACCGCAAGGAGAGTCGTCGGTTTGGATAGGTAGCAAATGTGAGATATCTTTGTGAAGTGAGATGCTGGAGGGGAGAAGTGGTTTTGTTTTGTGAGAACTAGGAAGTTGACAAATTGACAAATTGAGCACCAGGGATGACAGTGAAATGAAATCTGGTTGGAGGAGGAGAGTAATCAGAGACAGTGACCAGATGGGGATTGCAGCTTTTTGGCTGGAGAAGTATGATGTTGTTATGTTTGTTTGTTTGGCTTGTTGACGAGATTAATGTTGGTAGGAGAGGTTGTGGTTTCTCGAGAGGGGACTTGTATTTGATAGGCTTGTTGAGTTTTTATTCTGCTTTAGAGTTAGTTTAGTTAATTGCAGCAACCTATTTTATTTTTTATTTTTTTTAAATCCTTGCTTGCTTTTTACAGTAGCGTTTCAAGTTTTGCAGTAATCGACAATGGTAAAAATGATTTTGATTTTTGTGCCTGAGTATGAACAGCAAACTTTCGTGTCGCTGAGTTCGAGATGTTGGGCGTGCAGTGAAGGGCGGAATTTGTGGTGAATCCTCCCTCCTCTTCCTCCGTATACATCATCATGGATATCCATGGTATCTCGTCATCCCGCATTATCTGGTTAGTGGTAATTCGTCGCGGGGATGCGATTACTTTTAATTTTTTCTGCCGAATGAACTAGCGGCTGCCGGCAGACCGTGAGTGACATAGGGGGTACCTAAGTAGCCATACAGATTTACTGCCGAAGCCGGGTCTCCACAAAGTCACACTGGCTGTTTCGTGCCTGCAACCTTAATCTGACCACACCTGCTTACCCAATCAACTCATCCACTTGAGCCTCCTCCTTCTAGCCTTCTTCTGGTCTTCTGTCTCATATCCAACGACCGACGTCGGCCCTTTAATCATCTCTACATCCTCACCCTCACTGTCATCCAACCGCTAAAACGAAGAATAAATGCCGTTGGACTCCCTACTCATCGATTCTATCTACCCTACCAACAACAGGACTTTTTTTCGTTCTTCCCATTAGTAATTCATTCATGTTCGAGCGGCCGGTTAAGGTCAAGCTCTCTGCTAGGTGCAAATCCCGCATTGAAATCCCGCTCGCTAACCTTGTCTGTTATGAGCTGGATGAACTGAAACTGTGAACCCAGTTGTTCGAACCCCTTTAATGCTGCGTGGTAGGACTTCAGGACGTCAGGACGGTTCATACAGCCATCTATATATATATTTTTTAATCGCTGTGGCGGCCCCAGTGACAAGCCCAGCCTCCCAACCCACACCTCGATCCAGGGTTCACCCGTCGTAACCCTTGGAACACTGTTCCCCAATCATCCCACTTGTCTACACCTCGGGTTTACGATTTCTTTATTTTGAACCGACCTCTCGTTTTATTTATAATTTTTTATACGAGCCACGACCGACTACAAGTTCATTCGGACTTATGTTTTTGAGTTTAATCATTTGATTTAATCCCTTCGTTATTATATACCTGTAGACGGAGGACAGAGAGAAACAGAGGGACACTGAAATAAAAGGAAATGACACAACTTTTCGATTCTTCATCTGGTTCGGCAGGTGCCGCGGGATCTGAGAAACGCAGTAATTTCCCCGGCCTTTCGCTATCTACGAGGAAACACTCCTCAAACGACTCCTCCCACTTCCCCACGAAGCTCAAAAACTTCTTCCGCATCAACAGCTCCTCCTCCTCGTCCTCCAATCACAGCAGCAACACCAACAACCACAGCTCCAATGGCGGTGCTGGCCATAATGACGGCTCATCGGGCCATATCAAGTCGGAGAACAAGATGAGCTTCCGGCAGTCACGATTCCTCCCCACGATCACCAGAAATCGATCAACGACGGTTGCAAGTGAAGGAAATCCGTTGGACGAAGGGATGTCGCCGACTGCCCATGCGAATCCTTATTTTGCACACCAAGGATATCCCGCGTTGAGACATCGGAACGATGGCAGCGTTTCCTCCGTTGTTGCTCCTGATAACCCCGAGTTGCAGGGAGACGGCGTTTCTGCGGGAGACCAGACTACGACAGCCGGTAAGGAGGAGTTGGCTAGGAAATTGAGAAGGGTGGCTTCTGCACCAAATGCACAGGGATTTTTTGCTAGTGGGAAATCTGATAATAGGCCTAGGACAGCGGAGTTGGGGAAGGGACCTCTTGTGGAACATGGCGAAGGGGCCAGGTTAAATCTTGTGGATCAGGCGAAGGGTAATAATAAGAATACGCTTTCAGTGCCGAATGTTGATGAATTATCGAATCTTCCCCCGCCAAACCTAAACCGCAGTTCTATTGCGTTCAGGAGGACGTATAGTTCGAATTCGATCAAGGTGCGGAATGTCGAGGTCGGACCTGGGAGCTTCGATAAAATTAAATTGATTGGGAAGGGCGATGTAGGCAAGGTGTATTTGGTTCGAGAGAAGAAGTCCAGTCGTCTATACGCCATGAAGGGTGAGTGTTTTGGAATCCGTGAATGCTGTGCTATGGATATGGTTTTCGTGGGAGCTGTGTAGTGCTGACATTTTGCTTTTTTTAAGTACTGAGCAAAAAGGAGATGATCAAACGGAATAAAATCAAGCGGGCTCTGGCTGAACAGGAGATTCTGGCCACGAGCAACCACCCTTTTATCGTCACACTGTATCATTCGTTCCAATCGGAAGATTACCTTTATCTTTGCATGGAGTACTGTAGTGGCGGTGAATTTTTTAGAGGTATGATATGGAATGGATGCTGGATCGGTCACATGGATTACCATTGCTAAATCTTGGTAACAGCTCTTCAAACACGTCCAGGCAAATGCATACCCGAAGATGATGCTCGTTTTTACGCTGCGGAAGTCACTGCTGCTCTGGAATATCTTCATCTCATGGGATTCATATACCGAGATTTAAAACCCGAAAGTAAGATTTTGTTCAATTCTCCCAGTTTTTGTTCCTTTTCACTAATGGGTATTAGATATCCTATTACATCAGTCGGGACACATAATGCTGTCCGACTTTGACCTTTCTAAACAATCGGGACCAGGTGGAGCACCTACCATGATCATAGGTCGCAACGGCGCTTCCCCTACATCACTACCGACAATCGACACAAAGTCATGTATCGCCAACTTCCGGACCAATTCTTTCGTAGGGACAGAAGAGTATATCGCTCCTGAAGTTATCAAGGGCGATGGACATACAAGTGCCGTCGATTGGTGGACACTGGGCATCTTGATATATGAGATGCTCTTCGGTACCACCCCGTTCAAGGGCAAGAGTCGAAACAGCACCTTTGCGAACATATTGAGGGATGAAGTGCCGTTCCCCGAGAGTTCTGGTTCACCTCAGATATCAAAGTGAGTCGTGCAACACCCCCATTTGACCACCTTAATTATTTCCCTGTGTGCCTTAGCAGAAATCTAACCATTCAACTTCAGTATTTGCAAATCCCTTATCCGCAAACTCCTCATAAAAGACGAAACACGGCGCCTAGGCGCCCGCGCAGGCGCATCAGACGTGAAAACCCACCCCTTCTTCCGCACGACACAATGGGCACTCATCCGGCACATGAAACCGCCCATGATCCCGCACCAGGGGCGGGCAACGGATACCATCAACTTCCGCAACGTGAAGGAAAGTGGTAGCGTGGATATTGGCGGCACGGATAAAGCTAAGGGTGTGCCGATGGATTCTGGACTTACTACGCCTTCGGGTGAAGTGATTGCGGATCCCTTTGAGGACTTTAGTAGTGTTACACTGCACCATGATGGGGAAGATCAGGGGCAGCATATGATTGATGATCGGGTTTTGCCGGCGGGAAGTGGGGGAAGGAATTGAGGTGGTTTCCTTTTGCCTTGCTCCTTCGCCTTTTTCATTCTTCCCTCTTTTATTTGCTCCTTTACTTGACTTCTTCATAGTGATGGGGGAATCGGGTTTCGCGATACTGGCTGATTGATCCCGGTGTCGATGTCCCGTGGATGCGTATCCGACATCCCTTGTTTTCCCGACCACCTCGCATCCCTCTCCAGGGACCCTCTTCAACGGATGAGTACCGTAGCGCAGGGAGAGAGAAAAGAAATACAAACACGACGTAATCGTGTTGAAATGCCAAGTTCTTTTGACGATTTTTCTTTCTTTCTTTGAAACTTTAAAAAATTCATATTGGGGTGTTTGGAGTGCTCGTTTGGCTTGGTATATTATATGCTTTTGTTTTTTTATTTTATCTAAAATTTTTTTGCAATACTTATTCCTTCATCTATTTTCTTCGTTGTTCCTTGCATTTGGCGTCTGTCATTTGTTATGTCATGTTTATGTTTGTTTTCCCTTGTCGTATAACTCTTTCATGCATTTTCTCCTTGGCAAGGAGTATCCTATCCCGTTTTCCTTCGCATTTCTTTGGCTGAAAGAATCTTCTTTTTAAGGAAGTATTTCATATTTCACTCCTTTCCTCCCTTATTCTCTTTATCATTCATTTCCTTGCCTGCCATACCGTTGGGGTTTTAAAAACGGGTCCCCCCCCCCAAAAAAAAAAAGGAAAAGAACGGAAAGGAAAGGGAAAAAAAAGAAAGAAAAGAAGGAAAAGAAAAAAGAAAATAAAGAAAGAAAGAAAGAAGAGTTAGAAAAGTTTTGCAAGAAGGATTCATTTCATTAATCGTTTGTTGTGTTTTATCTCCTTTTTGTTTCTTTGAGGTTGTTCCTACCGACATCTCACCTTTCTTGCCACGGAGTACCGTTTCTCAATCTTTCAATCCATGCAATCAATTCTCAGGCACCTCTTGCAATGAAACACTGGCGTGATAGGCCCCTAAACACTGCAACATACTTTCCTTCACCCATATAGTACCGAGCGTATATTCATTTGATATCTGTGACTATGCTTGCCACGGGGTGGTGTTATCGATGTGAGGTAGCACGATGGATTGCAAGTCTGCTTGTTGTCGCTTCTAACCCGCCATGACCTAAGACCGGGCGTTTCACTCAGTCTCTCTTTGGCGACGCAACCGCCACTGGTGCCTTTGCCTTGTGTAGTTTCTGCTTTAGCTGGTGAGAGGTTTAAGGAATTTTATCCACCGCTATCGTTTCTACCGTCGTGAGTGCAACTACACCAGTTATTTCCCTTTATGATACTGGGTTGTAGTCGATATGATCTGCTTCCTATCAGTGCTTGCGATGGCAGTAGTTTTTTTTTTTTTTTTTTTTTTTTTTTTGGCCATCACTTCATTTTTCGCGAACTTTGTGATATTCGGGGCAGTGGATGATGGATGAGAACTCTCATGTGTGAGTTTCGTGGAGGTTTATGTGGTGGATTGAGAGATTGAGGACGGACCTCCGATATCTGTGCTCTTACAGACAGCTATACTATTTAAATAGGTATTTATTTTTTAGTTTTCAATCCATTTATTTCCAATTTGATTTGGTAGGATTCGGGAGATTTTGAATGCTGTTTATATATATATATATATCTAGGGAATCCATCTTTTAAAAGCGAACAGCAGCGGTGGTCTGTGCTCGTGGTTCCCCGGAAGTTTTGCAACCATCCATAGATCAAAACAGCACACGTATCCATCCATAAAGATCAACAACAAGACGAGGAAAGGCGATAATTTGTTCTTCTTTTTCTTTTTCTTTCCTTCCTTCTTTTTTTTTTTTTTTTTTTTTTTTTTTTAGAGACCTGTTATATATTTACATATCATACCGAGCGCAATCTCAGTCCAAAAACCCAAGCCCCCCAAAAAAAAAAGGCAGAATGACGCCTCCTCTCTCAACCTCCCGCTCCTCGCGACCTATACCCTCTTCCGCTAACGATGATATCGATATCGACATCGATATTGATATTGACAGTCCACCAATAGGGAGAAATGACAACAATGGCATATCTACAGCGACAGCCATGGGTGGCACGACTGGGTCATCAACAACCCCATCAACCAACCCCCTCCTTCGTGAGAATCCGCTCCTCTCCCCGCTGGAACAAGAGGTGTTGAATGAGTATTCGCGCCTACTAGGGAATATGAATAAGGTACTTTATTTACTTCTCGAGTATATTGGTCGTTTATACTTTTACACACTTAATCCAATTTGAAGCCTAAAAAGATACACTGCTAAAAGAATTTATTATACTCAGCTTTCTGATTCCCTGGCTTATCTCTCCACCCGGCCCGCGGCGGAAACGCTTGATGCCCTGCGCCTTCTGGAACGAAAGACAGCAACGGTGTGTACACTTCTTAAGGCGAGTGTGTATAGTATTGTGCTACAGCAACAGATTTATAATGGGGAGGGCGCTGACCAGGGTGGTGGCGGCGATGGTGGGGCTGGCGGGAATGCGGAATATGAAGGGAACGAACATGAACGTGGACATGGGAAACAGGGTGGTGGGTATGGATATGACGATGGGAATTAAGGGTTGAGAGTGTGGAAGAAACAACTTCATGGGCAGCTCTGCTCTCTACGGATGGAGACGTTTCCACGGGTTAGGAATGGAGAGCATGGAGGTTTTGTTTGTTGATGCACGGTGATTGATTCGTTCAAGTTTGCCCAACATAGTGTTGTGCGGTGTCTGGGCCACTACGCAACCTTTTGAGCCGGGTATTGATGGGCGAGCAACGCGACAGAACTGGACGGGTTTGAACTGACACCGACAACTTCCCGCTGACCCTTGATATCTACATCTAGCGAGGTTGGCTCTGCTCTTCCCGCAAGTAGCGCAAAAGAGCTACCTCTCACTAGAGAAGACAACAAGACTTTCTCTTTCTCCATTGAGTACAGACTCTCACGAACTGCGCGAAGTGAATATTGCGAAAGGGTTACGACCAACAAACATAATTCGGGAGGCGGTTCGGGAGCAGGCAATTTCAACTAACGTTGAAAGACTCGCGGAATTCTATGCCGGTAGAGGGACTGCATTATTCGTTAATGCAAATTTTCGATTATATGATTAAAGCTGGCATGGAGTGCAGTTATTAGATTTATCCACAAGGGAAGCTTTTATCTTCCTTCAGGTCGAGGAGTACGGCCCAACTACAGCGTTCTATCACCTTGCTGCCCCCGGTGGAGATCAATATGTCTCCAGGGACGCAAAAACCATATGGCTTTCATACGTCTTATTAGCCAAGCTCTTTTCTCTCAACCTGTTGTGAGTTTAAAAGACGACCACGGGTCAGGAACAATTGGTGGAGGGAACATTTCCTAAATGGAAAGATAATGGGGAGGGCATTCTGCTGGAGGTTCCAGGTGATGCGAAGAAAATTATAAGATCCATCCAACTTCTGGGTTCGAAAGAAAATCTTCCACAGTGCCGCAATCGTTGAACGTACTGTCAAGTGCTAGGCGCACATCCAATGGCTATAATTCTCCAGGGTTATCACTTTACCTAATGAGACCTTACCATATAGTTGTATAGTACAGTTTCCGGTTCATATGAATATCTTGAATTAATTAATGGATCGTACTGAAATAAAATAATACAATTTTTATCTAATCCTCATAGTACATAGGCACAATACAGTATATATGTCAGCAACATTCCCAGAACGCGAGTAGGATACAACAGAGCTCAAACAAGCAGTCAGATGGATAAAGCGTTACAAAGCAAGACCTGGAGTTTTATCTGTATCATGGCAGTTCTTCATCATATATGTGACAAAATATGATGATAGAAAATATTCCATAGATAAGAGGGAATTGATCTTCACACAATAATGGACAAGGCAAAAAGAAACATACAAACAGAATCAGGAAGAAAGAAAACCTTGCAAGAAAATGTGCATATATGACGGATAGATAACAGACCTCACTGAGCTCCGGCGTAATATACCCTTCTTACATCAACCAACTTAAGGCCCCTGGCACGAGCAATATCATCTGGATCCTTTTGGCTCATTAAAGCCTCGTACGCAGCTTTGACCGTGTTCATTTTGTTTCGGGATCGGGTGACTCTCGCAGCCAAATCGCGGATACCAACTGCACGACAGATTTCCCAGATATTGTGTTGGCAACGGAGACCAAAACCTAAAAGTATAGAGTTCAAATGTCAGCGTTAAGGATAAAATGAAGGCAATCGTGAGAGCAAAGGCTTCATACCTGGTGGGCGGTGCATCAGTTGCAATTCCGTAGCGCCTACTTTACCGCGTACATCTCCATAAATGGTCCTCTCTTCGTATCGCAAGACAGGGCGCATATTTCGGATAGCCCGAGCGTGAGCCTGCATCATTGCATCTCCAAATTCACGAGATTTTCCCTCACCGATACCTAACAAGCCTCTGCCATTTCCTGCAACGGAAAGAAGAGACCATTGGCGAATCTTGCCCAGGCGAGTCTGGTTGGCAACAGATCGCTTGACCAAGGCTTTCACGTGCAAACCCCTAAGCATGTTTACGGGCCAACCTGTTGCAAGGGAAACTTTCTCATAATTCATCTGCATTTCAGGATCTTCGGATTCTAAAATATTTGGATCCCGCGCCTGTCGCTTTAGATCTTCTCTTCTGAGCTGTAGATTTGGGCCTTCGCCTATGTTATCGATAGTCTCGTATGGCTGTGTAATATCCGGGACCAAAGAGGAGGCTTCGTCAACTGGATCTTTCACAAGATCCATCTCGTTCATGAACTCGAAGATTTTCTCAGGGTGATGTTCGGCATCTTCCTCGCTCATCTGCTCTAGGTAGTTGGCAACCTCCGTCATCAATTCCTGCTCGGTTTTCATGCGAGGGATAGGAACGCTCTTGGTTATTGGTTTGCGGATATGGTGGTCGACGACGGGCTCGACGGTGGAGAAATCATCCAGATATTTAAAAGCCCATGGGTCATCTCGTTGGGCAAATTGACTGGCCATATCTCGAGGATCAATGCTTTTTTCACCGGCTTCAATCGCGGCGATCTGTTCCGGGGTGTATTCCTCCGCCAGGCGCTTCTTCGCATCTTCTGTGTATGGACTAAACTGTTCCGGTTTAAGCTTCTTCGGAGGCGTGACAGAAACGATAGGTTTTTTCTTCTTTGCACATCGGGAAATGGATTGGTGGAATTGTCGTTGAGGGATGGATGTGACGGGAGCTCGAGATAAAGTGCAGAAGAGACACCGCACGGGGCTTACGAGACTCATGATGCTGGGAGCAGCGGGGTGAATACCGACCTCGCTGGCGAAGATCAATGGGAGACTGAGGATGTCGTCGTGGGTGTTGGCAACTTCCGTAGTGTTCCTCTTGGCTCCGTTGGGTGATGTTGAATGTCTTTTTTGTTCCGTCTTTCAGATTTTGGCGGAGGATTTTACTCGGAGGTCTTCCCACGCCGTGATTGGTCAGGCGCTGTGAAGACAAAAAAAAAAAAAAGGCTTCCCCAATACCAAAAGAAAATTAACAGATAGTTTAACCCTCAACCGGATTATAAACCCCTTCCATGGTCCCTTAATTATATTAGTTTACCTATGTATAATTCGGCTCTTAGGCCGTTTCTATACTCTGCGCGACACAGTTTTGAGCCCTCGAGTCTTTGCATTTTGCGGGCGCACCGTAAGACCGCGTTCCTTTCATCTGGCAGCTCCCAATACCAGCCACTACGGGAAGGTAATAGAATGGCGCAAAAGCCAAACAGAAGACCAAACCAGCGCAACTGTCCTCAGCACAAGAAGAAGAAGGTCTCTAAGGAGTGCACGGAAGGCAATACGGAAGAAGTGCTTCAATTCGACGTGCAGGCACTGTTGAAAAAACATGCTGAAAGTGCGGGAAAAATAGCGAAGGAGAACCAGGAGAAAACACCCACAGTTGTGCGCGAAAACCGGAGCGAGGATTTCCCGAAGACTGAAGTTACGGTCTATGACATATCGTCGACGGGAGATGGCCTGGCGCTTTCTCCTTCGTTCGATCATGTCTACGTTGTGCCGTTTACGGTTCCAGGAGATCGGGTGAGGGTCAAGGTAGTTAGGACAATGAGCCAGGACCCATACAGTATCACAGATCTACTTGAAGTTCTCACGCCGTCTCCCCAGCGTGACAACTCTCTCATTAGGTGCCAGTACTTCGCCAAATGCGGAGGATGTCAGCTCCAAATGCTCCCTTATGAAGACCAGTTGAAGCACAAGAAACGGATTGTAGAGAAGGCCTACGCCAATTTCTCTGGCTTGCTTCCTGAACTAATTCCTGCGGCACTTGATACGATGGGTTCACCACTACAATATGGTTATCGAACGAAATTAACCCCTCATTTCCCGATTCCAAGCCGAACCCAGCGCTCTGTCGGCGCCGATGGTGAGAAGGCAGAAGTGCCACCCATCGGGTTTATGTTGAAGGGCAGACGAACTGTTATTGATATCGAGGATTGCCCCTTGGGCACGGATATCGTGAGGCTGGGATTGAGAAGTGAGCGCAAGAGAGTTGCGGAGAACCTGCATATGTATAGCAGAGGTGCTACGCTCTTGATGAGAGAGAGCACCACAAGGGTCTACAACAACAGGAACGCAAGTCCCTGTCCAGATCGCCAGCTGCCAGATGATGAGCAAGTGATCCGAACAGAATACCCAGAATATATCGAAGAAAAGCGTTGCATCACAGACCAAACCGGAACCTCATTCGAATACGTCGATGACTACAAATTCGAGAACAAGGCTGGACAATTCTTCCAAAACAATAACTCGATCCTCACCCCATTCACCCAATATATCCGTGATAATGCCCTTGGCCCTTTCTCTCCCTCAACAACATCATCCAGTACACAGCCAGCCTCTAAAATAAAGTACCTGCTGGACGCATATTCCGGCTCTGGCCTTTTCACCGTAACACTCTCCCCTCTCTTCCTCTCATCCCTCGGTGTCGATATCGCCCCTCAATCCATCGAAGCAGCCCGCAAAAATGCCCGTGCCAACAATTTACCTAACACCGGTTTCGCCGCCGCAGATGCAGCCGCGATATTTAAAGACGTTCCTTACCCTCCCGAAAAGACCCTGCTTGTAATTGATCCACCAAGAAAGGGCTGTGATAACAACTTCTTGCAACAATTGTTGTGGTACGGACCTGCAAGAGTAGTCTACGTAAGCTGCAATGTTCATACGCAGGCGCGTGATGTTGGCGTACTGGTTCAGGGTGCAAATGTTAAGGGGGAGGAAGTGAGATATAAAATAGAGAGTATTAAAGGGTTCGATTTCTTTCCCCAGACCGGACATGTGGAGGGCGTCGCCATTTTAAATAAGGTTGTTCCACCGACCAGGAGTAGTGTCGCAGAAACAGGAGAGGAGGAGAAGCAGACGGATGCTTCTGTTTCTTCGGTAGCTATGGATGCAGGTTTTCCAGCTGGTTGAACCTTGGACCGGACGCCTTCGTTCTTGAAAATCTTCTCAGCGGCAAGGAGTTATAGAGAATACCTTGATGCAATTTTTCACCCTCATCTCTAGTCATGAGATGCTCTCCGTTAACAGAT